TGTGTGTGTGTGTGAAAAACTTTCTCGAGGAGGAATTCTATCATATCGCGTATGGTACCTTGTGCCCAATCAGACTATTTAATGTTCAATCACCATTACGGTAGAACTCAACTACATTACTTAATCTGTGAAGTGTATTGGGGCCTTAAAGTCCGTGCCATCAATGAAATATGGATCCATTATCGTCATGTGATGCATCACAAACCAAACAAGAGTTTGGGTGTTGTAACTGTGCGGAGTAAAATTGCCATCACGGCGAGACTACACCTTGACGTGGTGTGATGCTTGTGTGCCTCCATGACCCTGCGAGCTACACCGGATGGCTTTCCACAGCCGCAGATCCAATCCTGCCTGAAAGGTCAATGGATAGATGCTAGACAAAGCTCAGTCTCACAGAGCCAGCTGCCTGGTCACCTCCCGGCTTCTTTCATCTATCCACATCCGACCGTGGAGAGGCCACTCCAGCAAATAAACGCGGTAGGGGGGGGGGGCAGTTTACCAATAAAAATACCCCGCTAGATAGGTGTAGGAGCAGGGTACTTGGGGCTTCCTCTCGACGATGGGAAAAGTCTTCGCGCTTTATTGGACAGCTACCGCCTGCCCAAGCTAGGCAGCCCCCAGCCGATAAAGTGCTGTCCCATCCACGTTCCGCTCGTCTCATTGGGTGCATGAGGCTAAGGGCCGATCTCGAAAAGCGGACCGATCATCAACGCACCAGCGAACAACACTTCACCGAAACCCGAAGGCCTTGCGCGACAGGTCTATAGAAGCTCCCACAAGGTTGCTTCGCTCATTCTCCCGCGTTGGATTTACGACCCACTGCCTTGTGGATCAGACTTTTGAGTCGAAGGCTCCGGTTAGGGTTCCCAAAGAAAAAACCCCTTCATCGGTGTGGGCTGTCGCGAAGTATGTCGTGCCCTAAAGTCTTAGGCACCCATTTGGAAAAGCCTTTCCCCTCTGTCTAGTTCCTCTCAATCCCGAATAATCCCAGATGCCTCCTGTTCACGTCACCCATTGAATACCACTCAGCGTTTTACCATCAAGGCCAAACACTCAGAAGCTACAGGATTTTCGAAGCCAAAATTGCCTTTTAACTTAGCCACATTCAATGTCCTCACACTTTATCAGAGTGGCCAACAAGCTGTCTTGGCTAGAATCCTTGAAACTTTCAATTTAGATGTATGCTATGTCTCCGAAACATCATCATCATCATCGTACAGCGAGATACAGTGAAGCGAGCTTCATTGATCGCTGTCTCCGAAACACGCATACAAGACCCTACTCCAATTATCTCCCTGCGTTCTCCCGATCTAACCTCGACCTCACGCTTCACCCTTCTTGTGTCAGGCGATTCGGTATCCGAAGCTCGCGGTGTTGGTGTCGGGATTGCGCAAAGTGCCAAGGCGGAGTTCTCGCTTCTTGACTGGATTCTAGTCAGTAGCCGATTGTTCGCTGTACGTCTCAACGGTTCAGCACAGCTCAACAGCTACTGAACAAAGTGTTGATGCTTGTTCGTCGCATCGCTGTATGCACCGACCGATGGCAGTACACCCGAAATCAAGGATGAATCCTACAAACAACTTTCTCGGTTACTCCAAAGTGTTTCATTAACGGACATCGTAGTAGTCTCCGGAGACTTCAATGCTCAGGTGAGATCCCTGGACGAATGAGAAAGGTTTCTTGGCGGACCACATGCAATCCCAGCCAACCGGACGGACAACGGCGATCGTCTACTTCAACTCTGTGCGGACCACGGATTGTTCCTGTCAAACACGAACCTCGCACAAAAAACGACACCGCCTTACATAGAAACCGCCAACCTCTTCACAGCGCTGAACCCAAATCGACCACATCGCCATCAGTTACCGCTGGAGGGGGTCGATTCATGACTGTCGTTCTTACTGGTCAACACCGATGGATGCGAACCACGCTTTGCTACGAGCCAAATTCTCCTTACGCCTAGCAAACAACCGCAAAAAGACCACCAACAACGGATACCGGTGATACAACGTCGGTGATTGCTGCAAACCGGCCTTTGAAGTGGAACTCTCCGATTGCCTATCAGTTCAATCACCAGCCGAAGCACTCAATGAACACTGGAAACAAATCAAGGAAGCTATGAAAATATCGATAAAACCAACGTCGGATCCCGGTAATTAAAGAATCCAATGGCACACTGATTCACCATCAGCAGCGCCGTCTTGATCGATGGGCTGAACACTTAAAGGCCCAGTTCAACTGGCCCCTATCGACATCTGACCTGTCACCGCCCCCCACCTCGACTGGGCAAATTCTCCCATTGGATGTCGGTCCTCCATCTAGAATGGAGGTTTTCCGGAAAATAAGCTATCTCAAAAGGTATAAGGCCTCCGGTCCAAGCTAACTGTTCCCATCAGTTTCGGAGTTAACGAAACTCCTGGGCTTAGTGTGGGAGAGGGAAGAGATTCCAACTGGATGGTGTGAATCAGTCCTCATACCTGTTTGCAAGAAAGGCGACAGGTCCTCTTATGAAAACCACAAGAATTCATTTGGTCAACATTGCTTCGCTGGCATCATACTCCGTCGATTGTCTGCCGCACGTGAAGAGTGTACGCGTGAGAATCATTCTGGTTTTAGACCTGGTCGAGTTTGTATCGACCATGTCTTCACTCTTCGCCAAACTCTAAATCACCGACATTCGTTTCGTAGGCCCACCATCTCTGTATTCCTCGATTTGAAATCGGCTTTGGACTCAGTCGACCGCTCCAAACTCTGGCGCTGCCTTTCCCTGAAGGATTTGCCCGATAATTTTATTTCAATAATACAATCCTTTTATACTAATAGCCGAATTCGAGTCCAAGCTTACGGCAATTTTTCACTCGAGTTCACCACGAAACGTAGTGTTCGACAGGATTGTCCTCTCTCTCCGTTTCTATTGAACTGTGTTATAGACTTGGTTATGGAAACAACCCTATCGTCGTGCGACAGTAGCGGTGTCGATTTACTCCCGGATGAGTTACTACCTGATCTACAGTATGCAGACGACATTGTATTGCTAAGTGAAAATGCAGGTAAGTTGCAAGCTTTTCTGGATAACTTGAGTGCCAGCGTAGCCATGTTCGACATGCTTTTCGGATATATATATATATATATATATATATATATATATATATATATATATATANATATATATCATGATCATGAGGGATAGCCGTTTTTTTAATTCACTTAAGATCGTCATTCATTCGTGATTCACACCAATATTCCGTGTATCTAGTTCTTTAGTGTTGTGACTGTCACATAACCGAATCACGATCTTAGCGTGTGAAGCAGTCTAGACAGTCCAACAGTTACCTATAGGAAAATCTTTCCACCCTAACCTGTTCCCATTTATGTATTTAATTAATCGCAATTTTTGGCATTTCAGAATTGAGCGTCATTGTCTGGTGGATTCGCTCTCTCCTTCACTTTTGCCCTCGCTACCTGGACTCGATGGACATACAGTCCCTGTTGAAATCCTTGAATGTAGATCAACTGGAACAGTGGCACATTTTATGTATTGCAGCCACCACATTTGCCACACTATGCGTGTTCACCTACATATGTTATCGTCTACTGTTTCCCAAACGTCCGCATAAATCCAAGAAAGCTAAAAATGCCAAGAAACGGAATGACGAAAAGAAGACCGCCACGGAATCCCCGATCGTGGCGAGCTGCGTAAAGCCAGTGGCCGCGCCGATCGCGCCTGCCACTCGAAACTCCAAAACTGTGCAACAAAAGCGGCAAATGCCTACGCCTCCACCTGTATCGGAACCATCTATCAAATCCGAGGTCTCAAATGTCAAACAAGTCTCGAGGAAGGTTGTACCGAAAATCCCTGAACCCGAGGTATGTTTGATTCTCCTCGAAGTGATTCGCTTCTCTGTTCTTTCTTTCATTTAGCATAAGGAAGATTCTTCCTCAGATGTGGACGACGGTCAGTGGATTGAAGTTGGCAAGAACAAAAAGGAGATCAAGAATCACCCGAATGATCGTTCAAACAAATTATCGGAAGCACATCCTGATGATGGCAAGACCGACTCGGTTGCCCCAACAAATAAGAGACGCGAAAATGACAAAAAGACAAAATCAGTCTCCGTAGCAGGGAAAGCCAAGGGAGATGGAACCGGTCGCCCTGCGTATAAACCTATTGAGGAGCCGAATTTCAGCCAGCCGTCAAAACCAAATCGGCGGGGAGGCGGCAGAGATGATTTGGATGATGATGAGGAAGAATGGCAAGAAGTGCGTTTCTCCCGCCGTAGCCGTAAGTTTTCAAACAAGGATTAGCCCCCGATTGGCCGATCTGTCTCCCCTCTGCAATACTTCCTTCATCCCCGTTCATTGTTCATCTCTCTTTCCAAAGTGTGTACGTATTTTTGTTTGTGTGCAGTTCATTAGTCGGTGCCCCTAATCTCTCTTTTTTTCTCTCGCTCTGTCTCTCCTCGATCAATCTAGTTTACGTTGCAGTCTAAAGCAATCAGAATAATCGATCTTGTACATAGCTAGCTGTGATTGTTCTCTCGCTCTCGCTCCTCATCTGTGTCGCTCAGGCGAACAAAACACCGACTAATCCCGCCGGGTCACATCTCCTCTGTCCTCCCTCATTCTCTTTGTTCTGTTTCGTCTGTCCATTTCACTAAGTGCCTGTCATAATCTAAGATATTTTTGTACACTTACACACTTGTGATATCCGCTACCACCACCACCACCACCACCACTATCTTCCCCCCTCCGATTTCGCTCGGCGCAAATTGAAGTGAATTAGGTTACGGCTGACGGGACATTCTGTTCATCCTGATCTTGATCCTTGCATAGTTCTCTACCAACAACGCAAGAATAACAACATGTTCCGTTTGTGATTGCTTGTACCATATGCGTACATACTACCTACCACTACTGCTTACTAATACTGGCCCTGATTCGTGTGCACTCACATTGGTCTGTAAAGAGGACACTGGAATTGTTGCCGTTTCGATCCGATTCACTCTGGTTCTAATCCCTTCGCGTTGTGACCAACTTGGACGCACTGTGGTGTTGGTGTCGTTTTTCCCTGTCCCATGGCCCTTTCATATTCTACATTGGACTTCACTAGTTCGTCATGCCCGGTTCATATGAATGAGCGCGCTTTGGTATGTGCGTTCGTTTATCTTTGTAAATTGTTTCGTTTACGTGTTTTCCCCGTCAGATACGGCGGTTTCCTATGGTTATACTACGGTCAACGTTAATACTGTTGTCGCCGCCGTTACCACATCTGTCACCACCTTCTGTTTTGCCATTGTTCTTGTTTCTGCCATCCCAACTCTCTCTTTCTCTGTCTGATCACACGCCTTTTGGCGAAGCTAACGCGCTCAGCTGGTGTGGAAAATTCGAGTGGTGAAACTGTTACGAATAAAAGTTGGAATATGAATCGCCTTCTGTCAACGGTGGCGTGCAGTCTGATTCGAAGTGGATTGATGCACATTTGTTGTTCCGCGTTGCACTTTCACCAGTTCTCACAGTGCAAATTCAGACAAACCACTCGGTTCCTATTGAGCAGATGGAATGCGTATTGTTCGGCGTTCAGAATAACGTCTTACGATGATATGATGGATGATCTGTTCTCATTCAGAGCAAATAGATGTTCTATGCATCCTCACGGACGAACAAGCAAGGTCTGAATTCCAATTTCGATCAGTGGATATATATATATATATATATCACTGGTGCGCTCCGAACCAAAGGTCAAATTCCACCACCGCCGTCCACTGGAATGCAGGTACCTGGTCCCTAGTCCGGTTCCGCGTATCACGCCCATTCCACTAATGTCCTGTGCAGTTCATCATTCAAAAACCCGGGTTGTCGCGTCCACTAGACAAGCAGCCGACCTCTCCCCCCCCCCTGATCATCGGTCTCTTACTCGTTTTTGTTGTTGTTATTGTTGATCACATACTCATGTGTCATAAAAAGCAAGACACAGACAAACCGTTCAATGTGACCAGAGCAGTTGTAATTGGGATAGCGTAGCATGGTTTCACGCACGTTTCACTAGTCCTAGCGGTCCTTATCACGCTGCACTGAACGAGTGAACTTCTCGTAAACATAAAAATGCACCGTAATGATGAAACAGAACATGATTTTTCTTTGGTTGAATCGCTCAATCTGTAATGCAATTCAAGGTATGGGGAGATTGGATAGCTGAGGTGGAATCGCATTGCGCATCATAGAAACACTTGTCATTCCGTGCACTGGTGATGTCACTAGATTTTGGCGATAGTATTGTGAAGGCGAATGCCATTCATCACCAATAATATCATATCTTACAGATCACGCCCCTCAGCGGTAATTAGTACACGATGGATAACAGCTTGGTGGACTGTCACTTTGGGACATTAGTTGATTTCGTTGTGTCCACATTGTGTTCAACCAAGATATTGATTCAGCTGGATTTTGTCTTTTTCTAGGTTCTGAGGTTAGATGAAAGAATCCTAATACTTGAAAAACTATACGAATTTTTCTGGCTTGCCGTTAATTTTGAGCGGATGTTGCGATGTAATCGGCGCCCTCAAACGCGCTCAAATTTTGATGAGTTTCTTGCCGACCAAGTTCTTATGACAGAGCGGAAGATGGAGACTAGGATCGGTCGTAGGTTGTCCGGGCTGTCTTTCGCCATCAAATTGAGGCTACGAATCTGACCGCCACCGCTGAATTGTTTACTTATCCTAGAGGTCGCGAAGTTAAAATTAACTACTCGGCCACACCGTTCAGAGAGGGGAACCGACAGAGTATAGAGTGGTCGATTGAATCAGAAGCCGCTTTCAAATCAAAGAAAACAGCTTAAGTTCCAGCTCAGTTTTTACAACTATTAACCCTGCACTTCCATGCTCCGGTTTTGTTGCTATCTTTTGGCCGCTCATTTGGATAAGAGAGCAAAATAAAGATTGGAATGTTGAAAACAGATCCAAAGGGAAGATGGAGGAGGATTCATATAGACTGCATTTGCAAGAATAATGAGTAGATGCATGAGCGCCACTCTCGTCTTGATGAAAAGAAGGCAGAAATGGTGAGTATACGAAAGGATTGGCTGTGTTCTCAAATTTGGCGAAGATTAAAAATACGGTCGTTACAACCTCGGTCAGATCTAAAACCAGGCTGGTCCTCATGCATACGCAGTTAGCTCGCGGCAGCTACTCGACAGAGTATGATGCCAGTAAGAAGTTTAAGGGCAATGTTGATTAAACTACTTTCTGTGTGGGTTTTACAAAAGGGTCTGTCAGCTTTCTTGTACATTGATAGGATGACCGATTCACAACAGTCGGTTGGAATCTGTTCCCTGTCCCATATCGAGCTCGGGAGTTTGATGAAGGTTGACCCACGATCTTTAAAAACCGATAGTAATAGCACATCTGTCCCGGAAGCCTTATATACTCTTTGAAGTCACTTTTTCCGGGGGAACCTCTATTCCTATGGAGGATCGATATCAGCTGGCAGTATTTATCCAGTTGATGTAGGATTTCACAGGCCTAATGTCGATTTGGGTCAGTTGAATTGAGCCTCGAAGCATTCAGTCCATCGTTTAAAACGGCGTTGCTAACCGGATATCAGTGTGCCGTCATACTCTTTAATTACCTCACTAACGCCTATTTTCCTTGGGCCCAGGTTCTTAATTAGACGGAAAAGTTCACAACTGTTATCGATAACCGTAGCCTTTCCCATCTCCATTCTTTCCTACCCATCACTTCTCACGGTGATTCCGCAGAATCTTGGTGGGCCGGCGTTTTGTGACTTTTGCGCTCGGTGTCATGTTAGGAATCAGGATGCGGGATGGTTCTGTGGGCGTTCGACAAAACAGCCGAGTTCGATGAGATCCATCATTTTTATTTTGATCGCTCGCCGGAATCCATCGTTGTTTTAATTGACATTTGATTAGTGTCCAGTGTTTATTGAGTCTTTCGGCGCTTGGTTGAACTGATCGGTGAGTTCCGCATCAAACGTAGATTTGTATTGTGGGCATCCGTTTCCAATGGCGCTTTTGCGTCTTGTTTACTACGCTCAAAAAAACAGGTTTTGACCAGTAAGAGTGGCAAACTTCGATGGATCGCCGCCAGCGATAGCTCATGGTCATGTGGTCCCTTTGATTTCATTATCGTGAAGACGTAGGGGGCTTCAATTTGAGGCGGTCTTTTGTTGTGTGAGAATTGGGTGCACGATGGAAACAATCCCTGTTCCGTTCGGAGTTGGAGGCGATCTTTTTTGTCCGTCCGGTTAGCTGGGATTGCCTGTGGATCGCCAAGAAACCTCTCGGACTTGTCCAGATTTCCGGCTTGAACATGACCGGGAACTCGGTGCCTCCATGATCACGTTTGGTTTCAAGATGGACACGTTTTTGCAACAAAGAAACGCACGGAGAAGGAAAATCCATACGGAAGGCAAAGATCACGAAAACCCTAACTGGGCTTAGGTACCGGAACAGGGATCGCAATCGCTACAGGGAAGAAAGTATCACTTGCACCACGGCAGTGTAAAGCTAAACAGGAAATCCATCTACTTACACAGGTCTGGTTTGTGACGTTGAATGGTAGCCGCCTCGTTGAGCGGTATTATGCGACCAATCTTGTGGAAAGTAACAAAGTGAACGGTGCTTTTTAGGGCTGTCACATTTCTCACCATCTGTTAGATAACGGGCATTTGAACTGGGCGGATGCTGAGACCCGACAGATGCCAGATTTCTCGGTAAATTTTCTGGGATTCTGTTGGACATTTGTCTCTCAGTTCTTCGAACGTGCTCCTCGAACAACGTTCCCTCGTGCAAATTGGTTTGCAATCAGAGTCGTTCAACTGGTTGGTTGATAGGTGACATTGTTCCGGTCCCCTTTTTGTTCCATAAATCGTCCTGCTTGAAGCATTTTTTCAATAATTTCATCTCATATTTCAACCCACTCATATCACTTCACAACAGTGCCCCTGGACAGTCTGTTTTTTGTCTGACAAAAAAGGGAGCTAGAACTAGAGGTGAATAGAATTCAGGATAGTTTGACCGGAGAATAAGTACCTCTAATAGAGGAGTGAATTCCTCAGTTTTGCTACTGTGGCTCTGACAAATGATATGGAGAATGGAGATGGGTTCACCATTCACCCCGCGTCGTACCCCCGGTTTATATGGATAAGTCGATGAAATGCCAGTCAGGGAGGTAAGCACCTGCTTACAGTTCATCGAATTGTGTGTCGACCGGATGAATTCTTTTGACGGGGAATGCACATTATTGTAGTATGAATGTTGAATAACAGTTGCCCAGACGCATTACCCGGCCAGAGATGGGACAGTTGTTGATTATTCTGCTGTCTTGTCCTCATGACATTCAATCAGTTTGATGTCCAAAGTTAGCATCATCACTCGCGGTTAACTCTGATAAATTCATCCATCCTCCTTCCGTCTTTTCGTGTGCGTTGGTTTCAATCAGCTCATCGCGTGACCAAAGTTCATTCTTTCCAAACGCGCCACAATTGCTGTTAGGCTCGGAGAGGTTATTGTTTAAATACGTGATCCATAGAACCATTTAGGATAGATAGTTCATGGAAAATATTTTGTCGGATCACGAATGTTTAGTATTTCGGTTCACCCTACACCGTTTATGCGCCCACCCCCGCTTGCTTCCCTGGTCCGTCTCACGCTAGCTAGGTAGGTTTTGGCCGTCGAACATGGCTATTGCTTATGCTAAGACTTGAAATTATGTAAGGAATTGACCAACTTTGCGGGACTGGGACCCACATCACGTGAACGTCTTTGTTCATTCACACGCTGGTCCTCGTCCTGCTGCCATACAAGTTTGAATCTAACGCTCTAGTCAGGATTCCCAATGAAAATCCTCTTCTATGTGAGCCACCGCGGAGTGTATCGTGTCCTGAAGTCTCGGGCATGTGTTTGAAAGACCGTCTTTCTCAGCTGTTCCGTTTTCTTCTCAATCGTCAATCATGCAAGCTACCTCTTGTTTCTAGCACTCCCTCAGAGTCTATCTCGTAAGTTAAGCCACTTGAATCCGAAATGTCCTTTCCACTTAGTCGCACTCAACGTCCGCCGACTCTATCAGATCGGGCAACTAGCTCCGTCAGCTAAGAACCCTTGAAACCTCATACAGAGACGTATGCTGTCTCCAAAATACGCGTGCAAAATTCTTCAATCACAACACTGCGTTCTTCGAATCCAACTTCATCTTTAGGCTTCTCTGTCTACAATCTAACATGTCAATTTCTTCTGTCTGTTCCTGTGGAACATCTCATATGTGGATGAACTGCATGATCAATACATAGGAACGAGACTGAATTTGACCGAAAGCGGCCAAATAATGCATGGAGATTTAGGGCTGTCTCCTTCCCCTGCAGCGTTTTTTGGTACTGATGAATCCGGTTGTATATTTAACTTACCGATCACAACCAAAACGATCTTTCTTACTGCCGTAGTGTTGTAAGATACTGCTCACTTGTGAATAGTAGGTAATATAGTCCGTGAATACTTTCGACGATCAAAAATTAAGGAGACCACCGAGGGCAAGCTGCTGCATTTTAGAGAATAATTATCGATTGATACGTTCATTATCCGTCGTGTGGTGAGGAACTGTGGTGGCATGTTTCTGATGAGATTTTGTGCATTATGTATGCCAAATTATTGATATCTCATCTGTTGTCCTCAATAAACGACTATCCTCGACCAGCACCACCTGAAATCATAACAGTAGTAAACTCTCCCCAAAGTGGTTTGTGTTGTCGACGGGTGAAATCGTCCAAACAACCACCTTGGGCGCCTGAGTCCGAACCCCTCCACCGCCATCAATCATGCCATTATCCGCATTTCCCCAAGCGGCCTTTGTATGGCCGCAACTACCAGTCTGAAAGTTTATTGTGCATCTCTATAACCAATAAACAAAAAAGGAAGTGAAAGCATGTATATTTTTTATTCTATGTAATATTGTATGCAGAACCAGTGAAATAGTCGATAGAAAGCTTTCGATGTCCCCAATCTGATCGCCATTTTGTTTGATGGATTCACGCGGTTGTTGATGAAACTCAGTACGATTATAAACAGCTATCCAGTGCTTCGTAGCTTTTCAATTCGCGTTTTGTTTACGTGTTTTTTTCTCGTGCGCTACGCAACCAGAGTAAATAAAAACTGAAAACAAGTATGATGAGTATAAAAAAACCCGGGGAAAACCGGTGCTTTTGGAATGGAAAACACCGGTACAACGACCGTGATAACCGAGCGATTAAAGGTCACTAAATTATCGCCCCGGCCGGCGTAGGTGTGTACGAGTCTTACCATCTGTGTATTATATGGCAACCCTTTAATTGGAAGTATTATATAAAAAAACATAAACCTCCAGATAAAAATGGCTCTGTTTAATTTTATCAACCAGACAGAATAGTGTTCAAAAGATGAGACCGGACATGTCCATCAGAGATGTTCAATCACTTTCAATTATTGGGAATGTGACTACATACATCATGCGAATGGGTGCATATGAATATTGTTTGAAATCACTACATACATGTCACAGTCTCCGATATGCTTTACAATTTACATCAAATGGAACTAAAAAAAAACACTAATTCAACTTTATACATGCTTCGAAATGA